TAAATGTCAGATTGAGACTGCCACCTGTGGCCGAAACACAGTACTGCAGCACTGTTTTGCTTGTTCTATTAGCTCGTGCCCGTACTTCATTTCTTTTTTTCTTTTTTTACTTTTTCAACTGCCATTAGTGTCTGAGTTGAGCTAAATGTCTATCACTTCTGGGTGTATAATGCTTCGATTGTTTGGTTGGTTGGGCCCATTTAACATGTCTTGATGTCATATGCACCGAGCAGCGTGGGAACTTCTGACCCAAAGCAAATTCATTAAAATAGGCTTTAGGCCCATAGATGCATTGGTGCTGCACTACTGAGGTGTCAGTCTCAGTAAAAAAAATTGCGTATGTTTCAAAACAAACAATTCACATATTGTCAGGAACATTTTCTTGATGCTTCAGTGATTTAATGTTTTCTCGGGGAAGAGTAGTCTTTCAAAATGGTAACTTACTTAACAAAATTATATTATATTAAATCTCCAATATCATGGTTCACATGCTTTTCTTTGCTTTATCACCACCGATGTATTTCCTAGTATATTTTTAAACCTAATTTGTGAGGCAGTTCTAGCAATCCTTATGGTTGGAGGAGGTCAGGAATCTCCTTCTCTCTCCTTTATCTTCTCTCTGCCCTGAATCAGATTATGTTGACCGGTTTCTGTCTCATGTTAAACCATTACAGTGAAAGGAGTCCACCAAATCGAGTTAGTGGGTATAAAAATACCTTTTAAATGGATTGTAATGACATATACTCTGAAATGCATCTGTCAAACCTTTAGTGAGCTGATACTCAAGTTCCAAATAAAAATGCAAGTTTGCTAGTTTAACTCTAAGGTTATCAGTAAGCCAAATACCCCAACTACGTATACACCCATATATATTGATATATTATAATACAATTGCTGTTACGGCTGATGACCCATATTTTTATTAATATTGTATCCTATTTACTGTACATCCCTTCCCTTTTGACAACATGGACTACGGTTCTGACATTGCTCTGCTACCCACGGTTCTTCACTACATCACTGTAGATGACTAAACATGACCAATCCCACCCTAGAAATAAAAACCTAAATGGGATAGAAGCAAACATCTGTTGTTAAAGCAGCACTAAGTCATTTTCAAGCGGTGCTCTCCCAACAGGACCTTTTAAAAATTGCACATTGTATAAACTGACTGCCCCCCACAGCTACAATGTGCTGCCACCCTCTAAACAGCTGGAAACTTTTATAAAGTCAGGGAATATGTCGGGGGGGGGGTTCACATGCACATAAAATGAATAACACACACGACAAAACAGGGCAAGAGTGCATACTTTAAAACAGAGGTTCCAAAAGTATTATAGCTTCTATCCTACAAAATTGTATCAGAGTTTACTCATAATCCAAACCATCAGTATTCAATAGCAGAGAGTGGCTTTGCTATTTTTGCTGTGATAAGCTGGTAAAAAGTTGTAGTTTTAATATATTTTTGAATGAGAAAGTACACATCGAAACATCGTCTATGTAGTCAGTTTATCAAGAATACGATCCAGCCTTAAAATATTATGTCGCTGTTGCTCAGATTTTGAGTATATAAAAATTCTGACAAAACTCAACTGACGAGTGAAATAGTATTAAGAACAGCATCAACAATCAAAGTACTTGGTTTTCCCCAGTTTTAAGTGTTGCTTTTATAACTTTGAGCATTTTTACATAAATGCTTTTTTTTGTTTGTTTGTTTGATTGATTTCTGTAGTGAATCTAAAGAGCCCAAACCAGTTGTTTAAAGACCCCAAGTGGGTTCATGACCCCAAGTTTGGAACTGTGCTTTAGCCCAGGGGTAACCAATTAAAAATCAGGAGGGGTCCAAATAAAGAAAATCAATAACCAGTAAAGGTCCAGAGACATTTTTTATTATAATTACTTCAAACAGAAATTAACACTGTCATCAAATGAGGTTTTTAATGCATCCATGTTATACATTGACTTTGAAAATAAATAAATAAATAATTATGTTTTAAAATCTAAAGTGTTTTTTAAAGTAGAAAACAACAATCGTTCCGTTTGGTATATAGACAATTTCCTGATCAACATATTTTATAAAACACCTGAACTGATTGGGATTTTTTTCTTTTTTATGGCTTAATGAGTGTGCTTCAGGCTGCCCTGCAAGGCTTTAATTCTGGATTGAATGGAGAAAAAGCCATTCTCAAGCACATATCCAGGTACTCATTTTGAGCCTGTGTGTTGAGCCATGTTTATTTTTGATTCTGTTCATGGTGGAGAATCCTGCTTCACAGCAGTAGGTTGAGCCAAACATACTCAAAATGTCACCAGTTCATGGTTCGCTGTTATTCCAGCAGTCCAAACTTTCTCTGGTCTTTCTCTTCGTCTTCTCCTTCTTTCCCATCACCCGGCTTGCCACAGGTTTGCCTGCTGTTTCTAAAAGTAGCAGCAGCAGCAACCCAGACTGACAGCAGCTCATTGGCTTATTTTTATTACGTGTAGCCATGTCCCGGGCGCTCCAGAGAGCTTTACCATATTAACAGGAGAAGTTGTTTAAGTGCGGTAATTTATAAATGATTTAAATCAGGTTGGGTCCGGATTAGCCCGCAGGTGGGTCC